CGAGAGCGTGCGTGGCTCCCTTCCACCCCCCCTCCGCCCGGCCGTAACGGCCAGGCTGACGGCTACCCTGGCACTGAGCGGGGGATGCTCGCAAAGGGACGTCGGGGCTATTTCGCAGGAAAACCAAAGACAGACAGGAAAATACAAGCATGCATGAACATTCCAGGTAAAAATCCAGAGTTCAAGGTTTGGTTTCCTTGATTTGGTAGAGCAGCCGTGACCGCCCGATGACCAGAACGCCTGACGTGACCATGAGTGGATGGGTGCATTTAGCAAATTAACCCTCTATAGATTGCGTGGTTGTTTCTGTAGGTTTGGGCCATCAAATCAAGGTTCTTGGAAACCCAGAGCTGTTTGTATTGCACTAGTGCTGACAAGGGAAATTTGGATACCTACAGCATACTGGGTCAGAAAAAGGGTCTGTGGCCATCGGCAGACGCACAAAGGAGGGTGTATGAACAGGACAAGGGTGATGTCCCAGCTGCTGAGCATCTTCAGGCTTTGAGCGGAGTGAGGTTTCTGTAAGCTGAATACTTTTACCATCCTCACAGTAGTTCACCAGTGGCTGCAAAATTAGATTGAGGTTTCAGTCCAGACTCTGGTGAAAAAGAGCCCACATCAGTCAAAAGAAAGTCCCTGCTGCACTTTGCCCAGATAGATACATATGATCTGGGGGAATCTGTCATTTAATTCATGCTGGGGAAACATTAGAATAAATTGCAGAGGGAACTAGAGAAATAAATAATCCTTGCATCTTCAAAGGCAGACTGACCTGAATACTTGCAGTCAGGATCAATGGACTTGAAAGCCAGGGTAAAATCACCTTGACCCTAGAGGTTGATTAAAAGAGTATTTGAAATGTCTAGGCTTTAAGGAACTAAAACTGGGAAATTATTTCCACGTGTGTAGCTTGAAGGAGCTGCCAGCCAGCACCCAAAGCATGTGGCACAGCGAGGAGAGGAGGCACTGTTGCCATTTCTTGCCATGAAGATCCCCTCAAAAGCAATGCCAGAAACAGCAACCCAGAATCCCCAACCCTGTCCCTCGCTCCTGGATTAACCCGAGTAATCTGTACATCCCCAAGGCACAGCCCCACAAAAGCAGTGTCCAAGTGCAGCCCAGCAAGCACCAAAGTCTACTTCAGCTATGGCAGAGGCTTGCTGGCCTCAAGGCATCTTAAACGAGACGGGTCTACCCCCAAAAACTGGCCCATCCAAAAAGCAGCTCTGCTTTATCTAGAAATGCCTGCCCAGACTGCCCTGTCCCTGTCTCTTTTGTCATCAGAAGAGGTCCCCGAGCTCTGGTCCCGAAAGAGCCAGGCACTGCCCAGTGAAGATCCGTTGGTGACCAGCACCAGCAGATTCAGCAAGCTATCCAAGCACGCTGGGAAGAGTTCTCTGGGTTTCAGAGCCAGTCCATGAAGGCAGGATTAATCCACATTGCTGTCAGAAGGCAGAAAGTCTCCAACACTCTAATTAAGCCTCATTCTCTAACCTTACATCCTCATGGGTCCAGCCCCCTGCCTCCCAGCTCGCAAAGGTCTGGCAATGCTTTCAGAGGCCAGCCCTCGGGATGGAGGCTTTTGGGAAATGCCGTGGAAACCGCCAGGAGCCATTCAGCCCGTAATCAGTCCCATTCTCTCCCTAAACAATAACCACTGCACCACCAGCAAGAGTTTTAAGCCTGTCTCTTTGCAGGTCTCCTCTGTGGCGTTGTGTGAAGCGGAGCTGTTTGCGGCTTGTCATTAGGACTGAAGGGTTTTGCTATAAGATATTGTCAAATTTGCTAGAAACAATGTCTGCTGCTTGAGGAAAGGGAGGTGCCACAAAAGACGGGCTCTGATAGCAGTACAGTCGAGGAGAAACTTAGCCAAATATGATTTCCCAGACACGGGATATACAAAGACTTCTTGCAGCACTAGCTCCTTCGGCCCCATCGGGCTCCCCACCATGTGCCGCCGATACCCCGGGGACGGCCCTTGTCCTGGTCGATTGCTGTTATCATCCGCACTGTGGTACCCTAGGGAGGGAGAGGAGACAAGCATTACAGCCAGCCCAGCACTGCTGGGGCTCCCAGAGCAGAGCTTGCCCAGTGCCCAGCCAAGGCACTTCACCTCTTACCATGGGCCATGTGCTTAGGAAAACCTGTCCAAGTCATGGAAAAATCCCAACCCTGCTTCTCAGGGCAGTTTGGGCTCACCACTCATCACTCTCGTGCAAGCTGAAAAACTGTTAACCCACCCCAAGATGTAGCCGGCGATGCCGAGTGCAGGACCAGCATGTAGTGAACAGGACCATGCAGCAGGTTTGTACCAGGACAAGTGTCCATAGGGACTAGAGAGAGCACCACCGAACTCATTCCTTATGCTGCTCGTCCTCTGCCCAGAAGAGGAGGACTTGAAGCAAGGTCAGTGTGGTAAGCACAGCTATCAGTGCTTGAGGAAGAAGAAGCAGGAACTGAAGGTGCGGCACCGGCAAAACCACGACATGCCTCCTCACAGCATCACCACTGCACAGGCTCTGGCTGACAGGCAAAAGCATACGCTCCTCCGTCACAGAGATTTTTCACTCTGCAGTCCCTTGAGAACCAAAGGCAACAATTCCCTCTCACCATGATGTTCAGCACTGGTCACTACACCAGTTTCATCTACTGCTGGCATCCCAGTTTCAACTGGTCCTCGTCTGCCCCTGCGTTCTACAAATGAGACATCCCGGGAGATGAGGGATGCTCACTCAGGCCATTGGCATCCAGCTGCATAACTAAGTGAGCTGCAGAGATTTTAGTTGAAACTTTTAAGGAGGAGGAGGGTTGGACAGATGCTGAGGACTGGAGATTGCCCAAAGGCAGGAGCTTCTGCAACTGCCATCTTCCCCACCTCATCCTCCATCCTGCAGGACAGACCTGTTTCTTCTAGCCCAGCAGAAAGTTCCATAAGGCCATGAGTCTTCCAAAACCAATGAAGAACATAAAAATGACACAGAATTCTTGTTCAGTTCTTTAAATAAAAACATCACACTCTTATGTCAACTCCATAAGCTGTACTTCCCCCACTGCACTGCAGTGAGCCCACGTGAATACAAACACATCCACATGCACATAATTAATGTAGTGTGAAAAAATTTACAACTCAGCTGTTCTTGTTTTCATTGGTTTATTAACAGTAGGAAAAGAAGTAAATTTTTTTTTTTGCCCTCAAAGGAAATGTCAACAGAGGCATATGCATATCTAACGAGGGAGCATAGTGGGACGGCAGTGTTGCGTTTGCCCTGCAATCCATCAGCTGAAGGCCAAGGGGAAAGCTGCTGCAGAAACATCACCAGTGGAAAGTGGGGACTTGCCGTCTCCCCAGCTTTCAGAGCCGTGCCCCTGTGGGCTCAGTGGAGATGCTTTGCTGCTGCTAGCTGTAAAGAAGGCTCCTGAGGCCAGGCATGCTGCCCCTTCCCTGATCTCTGAGGGCATTTCAATAGACTCCTTAAGTAAATCCAGGTTATTAACCGAGAACATTAGCCATAAATCCCAGGTCACTGGCCTTTGAGCAGCACTCGGCTGGTGAGGCTCAGCAGCTGCCAGAGAGCCTCTAAATCACCGACAATAACTGTGCTTTCCAAAGGAGCAAGGATAACTAAAAAGCACAGGAAAAGTGCAAAAGGAGCTGATGGGAAAGCAGAACAAGAGATATGGAAAGGAGGGCAAGGCAAAGCACGGAAAAAAAATGGAGAGGCATGCAATCTAGCATGCTCTCCCCAGCGTACTCTGCTTTAATCTGCCCTCCCCATGGGGCAGGCATGAGCCCCTCTCTGCTCCCGGGCAAAGCAGGAGCTGCTCCGTGGCAGGGGCAATGGGTGAAGGCACTTGGTCCATCTGACAGCTAGCTCATTGCCTGTCAAAAGCCAGGGAGCGGTGCAGAATGATAAGTGTTGCCTGCCATGCGGCACATTTCAAAGCGGAGGCAGCTGCAGGAGAAGGCAAGGCTCCCGTGATGGCCGAGGAATAGCTATCAGCCCACCGACGCTGGGGCCGCTTTATCTGCAAGAAAAGGTCCCTCTCGTAGGACCCAAGGGACAGGGCTGTTGAGAGAGATAAAAGGACAAGCACAGATGTTGCAACAAGGAACATTTGGGAGGGGAAAAGAGGGAATCTCTTTTGGATCTCTCAGCAGTGAGTGCCATAGAGACCTCCGTAGAAAAGTACTTATCCAGACATTTGATCTCAAGAACGAAGGCTGCTAGAGAGCACGCTAATATTCTCCTGGTCCTTGGCAAGCCCTTGATGATAGCTTCCATGCTGCTGTTTTTCGAGACTAGGTCTTCTCCTGTTCTTCTTGCAGCCCTGAGTGCCGCCTCCTCCAGAAACTCCTTCACCAGGTCCTCCTGAGGATGAGCCACGCTTCACCAGCGACTGAGAAACATGAACCAGAGTGGAGTTGAGCTCCCTACCATTTGTGGATGCCGTCTCCTGGAACCACAGCAAGGGCAGGGACCTGGGCACCTCTTTGCTTCCCTCCTGGTTTCCATCCTTCATGCCAGCTCCTTCACAAGAGGCTTCCAATACCCAAAAGACTGGCAGATCCCAGCTCCTGGGAATTGAGGATTCCTCCCCAAACATCTGCACATTGTTAAAGATCAATCTTCATGCTTCTGGGAAAAAGGCTGAACAAGTGCCACAGGACAGTTACCTGTGTAGCTGGTGGCAATTCTTGGTTTTGTAGTGAGTGGCAACAACTGACGCAGATGGCCTCGGAGCATGATCGCTCAGCATGGTCAACAGGAAGGAGTGTTCCCATTCAGCACATGCCCGAGTGAGATGGGAAGATGATGTGATGCAAAACGTGACAATAAGCACAGGGTATACCCAATCTTTTAGTACTCATGATGATCATGCAGCGTCTTGCCCACCACACTAGCAGAGATAACTAACCAAAGAAGACAGACTAGAAATGGGAAAACACCCAAAATCAAACCAAACCCTTGACAACAGCTATCTCATGATAGCAAAGATTGACCTCTTACCAACCACATCTCAACAATATCTATTCTGTTCCAAAATCCTACTGGCCCACACCATTATTCCTTTCTCTGTCTAGGTCTTGGCATGGCATGGGCAGGAAATGCTGTGTTCTGGCTCCCTGAGACAGCCAGCTACACCTCTAAATTGGAGGGGACCCTCCCCCACTGTCTCTAGCCAAACACATCTGGCACGGCTTCCACTTACCCATGGAAGCCCCAAGCTGCTTTCCAGCACCAATGGCTCTGCCCAGGGCTCACCCTATGTATTTGTGTTAGAAACTCCCAAATACTCTTGACGTTTCTTAAAGCAAGTAAAAACTCACCTGCCTACCACAGACAACGGTGGCTGCAAGGGAAGGACGCGGGTGGTGGGTATAGACCAAAGCACCAGAACAGAATAACTCTCTCCCTCTAGGGAAGGAGGAGGAAGGTTTAGAAAAGTAATAATCTGGAAAAGCCTATGCTTAAAAAAAAGGCAAAGGAAATAAAGAATGGCACATTATCCAAACAAAATCTGAGGGTTTTCTGAAGAGGGGCAGGGGTAAATCAATCCTTTTTTAATAAAACCCTGAGCTTTTAATAAAGTGTTCACGCTGATGGGCTGGAAATATTGTAAGAAAGAATTAACTTGGAGCTATTGAGACCCTAGGGCAAAAATAGCACTGATTCTACATTATTTCTTTAACCCAAAGAGTTTTTGAAGAGGAGGGGGATGGTACTGAACTAAAACTGTTTTAATGATATTTGACACGTATTTGTACCATGCTATTGCGAGTGAATACAACTGCTGGTCCTGCGACCAAGCACCAGTGGGGTTTGTCCCCCTTCTTGCCTTTGTGTGGCTCCCTGTGGGATAAAGCACACTTTCATGGGCCTCAGCTTGTGTCTTAGTGAGTGGATTCCTCCTCTTTCACCTCCAAAGTGGAGCTGTGATGCTGCCTGGACCGTCCACCAGCTGAGGTCCAAAAGCAGGGGCTGATAAGACCATCAGCATCTCTGCAAGGGGAAATGGCCCCTCTCAACTTCTCTGGAGAACATCAACAATGCTATCCAGTCTACAGACACTGTGAGGACAGACACTCAGGAAGACTCCAAAGATGAAAAATACAACGTCGCCAAGATTTGCCACAGCTGCAGACAGCATTGGTGCACTTGGGTGCACTGGGAGAGACGTCTGAGGCATGCTGGGATGATAAACAGCATCAAGAATGATCATACAACAGCTCCAGGTACAGCAAAGTCTCTCCCTGCTGCATCCTATTCCTTTGCCCGATAAGAAATTTCTCTCTTTTCAGCGTCTGAATAAGCACGTGCCCAAAATACTTCTAAATTATGCTACCAAATCCCGGCCTGAGAAAAATAAGAGCTACAACAGCACTTCTCTCTTCTCTTGCACCCCTCCGCCCCTTTTTCTTCTTCTTCTTCTCTTACAGGATTGGGGACTTGAAAGGCAAGGCGCAGCCCGCCGTTGCAGTGGGAGGAGGAGGGGGGAGCGTTTTGGGAAGCTGCCTCGGCAAAAAAAAAAAAATCCTATTTCTCACTTCTTAATTCCAGTCAATTCCAGTCAAAGGGCTGATAGAGATCTGTTTGCGGTAATTTGCTGCAGTTTATCCACTCTTTTCACCTTCTATCGGCTCTTCACTGACGGGCTGGCTGACATGCTGTTACTCGAGTGAGGAAATTAAAATTTGATGCAATAATCCCAAATAAGAAGGATTTTATTAGGTAATGTATACACTTTAGATGAGGTATTCTCGCCTGATACATTGATAGGGGAACACAGACATGCTGTGCACCACAGATAAAAAGAGAGGCAAAAGAGACGAAGAATGGGTGTGTAGAGCAGCAGCAAGTCTCCACTCTGTAGATTTGGGGCTGGGATGAGATGTCTCAAGTGTATTTTCGCCTGCTGAGCCCGATGGCAGGGCAAACGTCGCACAGAAAGCCACTGCAGCCTGTTGGGTTGACCTGGAAGCCTGCTTTGGACAGAAGTCAGCCAAGTCCAGACGTCACCCAAATTTGCTGTTACCCTTTTGGTAGCCATGCCATTCTGCAGTGTGACAGATTCCACTCTGCACGTGTGACTGGCTGCCTCAGGTGGTAGGGCAGAGCTGATGAAATGACTTCCCATGGAGAGACAAAAATGCACGTGTTAAACCCCAGGCTTGCCATAGCAAACCATGTCCTTGTTTCAGCAGTGGAGATTTCTTCTGGGAAGGATGGGACTTCGGGTCCAAACCAGAGAGAAATACCACTCTCGAAGTACCATCCTCATTCACCACTCTTTCTCTTCAATGTTTCTCTGGTGACACCTATCCATCCTGGATATCTCAATGCCTCTGGAGATGTTGCATGGGGCCAAAGAGAAATTAAAATCTCTAAACCCATCAGAAAACTGCTAACAGTATGGTGAGCGCTGCTTCATTCTTTTCCTATTTTGAGTTACACAGAGATTATTTGCTGCTTTGACTACTGCAAACAGTATACATTCTGGGAACAACTGTGATGCACGTGCGCATGTCAACACAAAGAGGTCATTGAGCTCCAACCTTAATATATACCGTTAATTTGAGAGAGATCCCCTTTCCTGGATACCAGGTCACTCCATGAAAATGATGCAGTCTATAATTTTTGATACTTGTGAGATTTCCATTTCTGTAACTTCATCTAAGGCTTTTTTTCCCCTCAGTTAAGGGTGATCTAAGGAGCGTTTTTTCTTCCCCACAGCTCATACTGCCCGCCACAGAAATACTCCTTAATCTCAACAGCATGGACACTCACTGAAACTTTCACTTCATGAAAGTAATCCATGAAGCCGTTTTTGGCCATCTTCAGGCCGGCAGACAAGTAATGTGCTGTCTGACCACAGGATTTGTGACAGTAGGACTCAGCCCTATTGATCCAGCACTCTTCGTGCTGTCAGGGCCAGTACTTTGCTCCAAAGTGAAGAAAAAGGCATCAACTGAGGCGAGCTGGAGCACAGCCTGCCACTGCATGAACTGAGCCATCACGCATTTTGGATCCAGCCCACGAGAGATGTTACGGGATGTACGGGTGGTATGGATGCCTACCATGCCACAGTTTTAGGACAGAAGGTTCTTGAATCCATATACAAAAATATTTGCCCTATAAACAAAGCGATGGGCTGCACAGCTGTGCCTTGGGAAGGTGAGTGCTGGTGAGTAGGGCTGGGCTGAAGGTCCTGGGCATCAGCTCCCAAAGCTGAAGCTGCCTGCCATGCTCCCTGTCGTCTGTTGCGGGGAAAAAAAGCCCTGCTGTATTTAGAGACTGGGAGACATTTTCCACAAACAGGGAGTTTGCTGACAAACCGAGTTTCAGAAGAACTAAAATGACTGGATCAATTTGGCAAAACCTGGGGGAACATGCTTGAAGTGCTGAAATGGCTGATGATTCTGGCATTTTCAAAACTGCCTCATTTCAGGAACGCTCACATTTTTATTCAACTTTTCTATTAGAAATGGCATGCATACACGCTGTAGGGAGGAAATGGGGTGACTGTGTGCTAAGAACAGCAGCAAACCTTTTTAAACTTTATGAAAAATGTTTAGGAAAATGTTTTATCTGGGTTTCAGGCTTCCGAAACATCCTTGCTTAGGCTCCCTTTTTTAAATAAGGGCAAAATGTTTTGGAGCTGGCTTGAAAACCATTGCTCCAGAAAGCAAAAGGTCTGCCTCTCTTTGCATGTCATTTAAATCTCATGATTCAGAGCATTTGCACTTCAGCATGGGAACAAGGCTCCTCTTTGGACCCAAACGTCAGGGCGGAGCAAGGCAAATCTGTGATGGAAGGAAGGATGGAAGGACAAACATGTCTACAAAGCAGAGGTTTTCCTCTAGCTCTTTTGGGATACCTTGCTCTTTCGGTCCCATACCCTGCTCCAGCCTCCCTCAGCCCCCAGCGCAACACTGCGGTCATGCACATCGGAGTGAAGCAGCAGCCCTTACCGGAGGCGAGTTCTCATAGATGTTCGTGCTGTAGGGCAGGTTGATGAAGATGGGGTCCATGTCCTGTACATCTGTGATGGTGATTGCCAGGTTGGCCAGAGTGGACAGTGGCTTGTTTTTATCTTGGTCCTTGAAAAAATAAGGGTTTGGGGGAGGAGAGAAAGGATTTCTATCAGAAAAATAGAATTATTCAACAGCATTAAGCCTCTTGCAGTTGTAGTTGGGTCAAAATTTCTGAATAATCCAGGCAGTCATCTCTTTTTCAAGCTACCTGCTGGAATTATTGTCCACTGTACCTCCCTCCAACAAGCTGAAACACAATATGCATCTCTTGCCAGCATTAGCTTTTCAAAATAGAGCAAGCAGCAATTTAGTTTGCATCACATTTTGGGTGGAAAAGAAGCAACGCTGTTTAACATGTACTTTAAAATATAAATTCCCTCCTAATGCAGACACACCCCAGGGCACCTCCACACCGTGAGACCCAGATGTGGTTGCCAGCAGACTTTCATGCCAGCACATCACAGCAGCGCATCTCATACCCCACAGCACTCATGCCTCCGCACAGCTTGGGCTCCATCGGCTGGAACACGGCAAAGCCCACCAGCTCCCTTGCCTTTCTGCTGCTCTTTATAACCCTGCGGGCTGAATTGCAGTCGCAGCCTTATTCTTTTCTGTATTCACTGCTCTGAGCTTTGGCAGAGAGTACGTACGCCAGGTGCTGCTTCTGATTTTGTAGGATGCCTCAACTCTCACATAGGAGTCAGAGTGGAAACCTGAAACGCAGGATATGTCCTCACAGTAGCAACCTCCTTTCTACTGGGCTAATGGTTTAAGCTCTGATAAACTGCAAACTTCTCCTTCCTGCCTTGCACAGGGACTGGCAGGATTGAGGTAACCAGGAGCTGCCTTTCAATGCAAGACAAGCTGCTTCCACAGCTGCAGGGAGGTGGGGAGCCATCCTGCTGGCTCTGTGAAGCAGGTCACAAGCATGCAGCAATCTTATGATGACCAGCAGTGGCCCTTGAACACTTCAATGCTCTGAGAAGGAGAATAATCTCTCTTGCATCCCATCACAACCCATCAGGATGGAGCTGCAAATGCTTTCCCAGAGCAAGAGCCTTCTCCAGCAGCCAACACAACAGCAGCACATGCTGCCACCAGCTTGTCCTGGCATTGCCCTGCTGCCACCAGTTCTCTTGCTGAAGCCTCGTCCCATGGGTGCTCAAAAGTGACCCCAATGCCCACAGCACTTTGCTAGAAGGGCAGGAGCAAAGCAGATAACACATGAAGGGAAGGAAATAAATTTCTCCTCACCCCCTAATCAAGCACTGTGCTGAAAGGCAACCATTAGAGGTTACTGCACACTTCTGCAAAACAGCTCTGTACAGCGGCAAAGACTGATTGCTAGAAGATTAATGTTAATTTAAACCGTATTCAACAACACAGCTTGTACATTATCCTCTTAACCTGCAGGCCTCAGCGTTTATGACCTGGATGGATGCTTATTTCTGACTCACACTCTGCTGTTAGCGTTATCAGGTTGAAGTCTTTCGTTTCTTTAGATAATGTTTTTTTTTCCCCTCCCCTTCACCTCTTAAATTTTGGTTAAAGTATTACAGGTAGCACTGAAAAAGCAAGCATGGTTCAAGTTTCCTCACCTACCATCTCTCACGTTGCCCTTTCCAGTCTCTTTCTGCCCTTGCTGCCTACATCCCTGAGATGAAATGGCTCCTGCCTTAACCCAAGGTTTCATACCTCTTGCAGCTTTTGCGGCCAGCCCAAATTCACCATCACCCCAGTTCCCACTCTGGACAATGCAAACTCTTCATCAGGCAGGCAAGAGACTGCATTTGCTCTCCCAGCTCCTGCTGTGCTGGTGCAACTCTCATCCTCCTTCCCAGGCTGAGCTTTGCCCTGTGGTTTCTCATTGCCTTTCTGCTAGAAATCACCAGCACCCTGTGACTGAGCAGGGGAGTTATTCCCACAGCTGCAGTCAAGCCCAGTTCAGAGACTTGTTTAAGTCTTTGAACTCCCTGAGCTGGAAATCACTAGAAGCCAGACGTGCACTAGGTAGCAAGTACCAAATATGCCCCCATTTTATCTTTGCTGGTAACTGCACTGGGGATACGGGGCTAGATGGAGCTGGATGGACCAAGAAGGCATGCTTGACGAACCCAGAATCAGACATGGGAACGAAAGGCATGTTTCCATCAAGGCTTGTGGTTTGGTCCGATGTTTTGTAACCCACTACATAGTTCAAAGCATATCCTTGGAAAGCAGGTTGGCGACAGCCACTGATAAGGAAATGAACAACAGAGAGGGATTCTTATCACTGGAGTATTTAAAATAAAATGAGGTATGTTTCAGAAAAAATTAGCTCCTGGCAAAAAATTCCATAGCCTCAAACATGCAGGGATTGAGCTGAAAGGCTGAGCTGTTTGCCTGTGGCAGTCTGTGAATGCCCAGTCTCTGTGGCTGTGGAGAGCAAAGCAGCCCTGCGCAGCCCTCCATGTCCTCCTGACATTTGCGACTCTGCATCAAGACAATGATCTTGATTAAATCACATGCTTCAAGAGCTCTAGTCAGCTGCCTGGAAGGGTCAGGAAGGGTTTTTTGCCCCTTCTCAGATGTAAAGTTTGTCAGATGTTTTGTAGGGCTGAATTTCACCTTCCTCTGTTGCATCTGAGATGGGAAAGGAGCCATCACCCAGAGCACCTGCCAGCAAGGTGCTCCTCATTCACGCGCTCCCTGTCCAGCTCTCACTAGATTGGACACCAGGGAAGAAGTTTCCCATTCAGGTGGGGCATGAATTTGCCGTAGTGGCTACCTGGACATACATCTCCCAGGGATCCCCTCATCCACCAAAATATTAACTCCTGATGTCTGAACTCAGCTTTTGCTGAGTGAGGCTGAGGGAGTTCAATACAGGTGAATCCACTTGTAGTAAGCCATGATGCACAAGGAATGAGACTGGAGGATTTAATGGTCTGTATGCCCTGTACTGGCTCTCTTCAGCAAGAGAGCTGCTCGCCTTTCTGCAGAAGCTCCTGACACACATGAGATGCTGTTGGAGAGGTGCAGCTGTGCTCCACAAGCTGCACAACAGCGATTTGAAACTACCCAAGCACTGCATTGCTACAATAGCTAAGTGGAAAATATTGGATGTGTCCGAGAAGAAGCCCAAGTAGGGCAATAAAGTAAGTAAGCAGCAGCTCCTTCCCCATTGCAGTCCCTCCAGAAGACATCTCCTCCCCTGCAGCAGCCAGGATAAGACTCACCGTCGCATTGACCTGGAGCTGGTATGCCTGAGTCACTTCATAGTCCAGCTCCCGTATCACCGACACAATGCCACGGCCGCTGTCGATGGCGAAGAAATTGGAAGGAGGCTGGAAGGAGTAAAGCACGCTGCCTCCTGCCCCCTGGTCGGGATCCGTGGCATTCACTATGAAAATCGGAGTGCCCACCGGAGTGTTCTGGAAATAAAACAAAAAAAAAACATCGTGTATCGGTAAAATTGTGCACCAGCATATTTTCCCATCAAATGCACATCAGCAATTTCCTTTACCCGCCAGAACGAATATCTAGGACTCAGGAACTTCAGTCCTATATTTTCAAGACATTTATAAGTTATACAGCTGTTTTCTTTATTACAGTATTGCAGCAGCTATAATAGTTGTTACACACTTATAATAATAGTTATACAGCTGTGGTCAAGATGGCACTCTATCACAAACCCTTATTTTCCCAGACATCACGACTTTCCAGAAAAATTACTCTTTGCTGAAAGTTGTTTTCTGCCCAAAGGCACTTTTCTTTTCAACACTGATTCCCTCTCTGTTTTCACCATAAGGCATTAAATACAAGAGAGCCTCAAAAAAAAAAAAAAAGCATTAAATGCAACACAGAACTTTGCATAAAATTCAAAGTTATAGTTGCCACAGCAACTACAACCTGCCCCGATTAATGCAGGCATTAATGGTTAAGTTGTCATAAATCTGGAACTAATCTACATGCATAAAACATGCAGCTGAGTGCACAAAATCAGCAATGGCAAATGCAGTTTGGCACTTCTTATTGTTTAACTTCACAGCAGGGAGAACAATTATCCATTTTTGGTGGAACAGCTGCATGTTCCTATGCAAATCTTAAACACATATTCTTGTCTCTCTAAAGGCAGAAGCACAGACCGCAAGCTAAAAGGCTTTGCTGGAGACCCGGGCCGCAGGTACACATGGATCACGACCGCTTGGGCAAGTCCGTATGCTTGTAACACATTTGCAGCCATGTTAAGGGTTGACGAAAAGCTAAAACTTGAAAGGGAGACAGCAAAGGTCAGAAGTGAGATGTGACAGCGGCTGATTATGACCAGTTGGGATAATACGGATTATTTCTGCAAACCTCTTCCCAAGCCTCCGCATTTTATTATTAATTTTGTTCATATTAAATTATTCGTCCTCAGCTCATAGAGAAGTTTAACGAAGTGCTGAGAAGGTGGAAAAGAGACTTGAGGGGATGCAGAGCTTGGAAGATGGGGCACTGCTTCCAAGTGGAGCTCCTCCTTCAAGCCCTTGGCCAAAGCTGAGCAACTAACTGAGCTATTTTCAGTTTTTTGGGGAACAACAAAGCTTGCAATGAACCACAGCCAGGGCTTCAGCAAGGCCCTAGGCCACCACTTCAACTGGAAAGCATAAGAAACTTGGGATCCACTCTTAGAGATCTGATTTAACCAGGTAAATGCTGGGTGATGGCACCAGAAATGAACCAAAGCATCTGAATTTGAGGCTTAGGCCAGCAAAAACTTGCCTTCAAGGCAGGTGGCAGGACTTGCTGCAAGCTTGGTCAGATAGAGCGAGGAACCCAGGGCATGTGCCCCAAGTCACAGTCTGGGTCCTGAAAGCAGCTCTGAGCACGTGTTGTGCTCTCGCACCCTCATCCACGCACGTCCCTCACACATCCCTGCCCTTGCACCCAGCCACACAGCATTGCCAGCACGCGCTGACATCTAAGCTGGCCTCAGGCTCCAGCAAAACTTCACTTTCCTTACTTCAGCATCACTTCTGCCAAGGTGCGAGAAGTTGCAGTTCCCACCTAGATTATTCATTTGCTTTCTCTTTTCCCCCTTCTAAATCAAGCTACTAAAGAAAGCCTCACAGGGCATGGCCCAAGGATTATTTTTTAAAGCACCTTCAAGTTTTTTTTGTGAGCAGCAATCATGAAAGCATAAAAAATATAGCTAGAAGGGATCTCAAAAGAGAAATCTGTCCCCATGCTACACTTAAATTATTCCCACCCTTAAAACCTCCAAGTGACAGAGGCACCACAGCCTCCCCAGCCCATTTGTCCCTGCAGCTTGCTACCCTTTGCCTTACAATTGCTCTTTTTCTGTCCTCAACCCATATCTGCCCTGCTGTCACCTAAGCCTTTGACTTTATGCCACACGCACAGACATTAATCCTAGCTTGTGCATTTGGAGAACTCGGGAATCGGGACCCGGTCAGCTCAGGAGGCGTGTTGGGCGGATAAGCCCTTTATGGGGAGCTCTGGTAGGTGTTTGCTTTCTGCGTGCTCCCAAGACACCTCTCAGGCAGGACTAGTGCATCCTCCCCATCCCTCTTTGGGCTACCTGGCTCCCCCAGGAGCTGCCCCGGAGCATCCCCCAGCCCTCTCCTCACTGCTGCCAGAGCACTTCTTCCACAGCTGCAGTCCACATGCTCCAAAAACTGACTTCTCAGACTTGCCCCCCATAGCCATGGGGGTATCAGTGTCAGGACGAAGAACATTACAAATTAACCATTAATAAGGGGAGGAGGGGAGAGGCAGTGATAGAGTAGATGCGGGGTTGCACCAATGAGGTTTGGAGTATATTGTCCCCAGGAATAATAACATTCATAAGGATAAAGCTGGACTTCATCAATATGTTTCCTCTTCTTTTTAAGTGCCCCTAGCCACTCCTTTTAACATGCAAATCCACTCTGGTCACCCGTGATTACGGGGCTGCTGCGAGGCCGGCTGTGAAAGAGGAGAGCTTGATTTCCCCGGCATTGTATTTCATACAATAGCCCAAAAGCAGGCTTTGAAGAGAGTTCATCTCCTCGTCCTTCCAAAGGAGAAGCTGCCTGGAGGGACACGGAGGTCACCGGCTTTGGTGCTATCAGCTCCGGGCCCCGCAGACACTGCCTGGGCTCCGACTTGGCCATTACCGAATTTTCATCCTTGTTTTACAGCTTTGCTGACCAGGTCCTTTTGTAGGCCAGAATAGCAAAATCCATACAAACAGGGTACAAGCTCTGGCCAAAGACCTGGCTGGCCCTGGGAAACGGTCATGGACATCTGCACCAAAGCACCCGAGGGGCTGGGAGGGACCCCCCGGGCAGGACCTCAGCAGGGGCCAGTGGGCACCTGCAGGTGCATGGGCGAGTGCGCCAGCAACACACAGCGCTGGTGAATTTAGGAGGGGAGCAGAAGGGCTCCCAGGCAGCAGGAGCAGTATTACAGGAGCTTGAAGCAGAACAGCATGGTCACAGAGGGGGGAATCTCTGATACTGCCCGAAACGTACAGGTCAGTGGGAAAAATTCACTACTAAATACATGTCCTTATTCACCACAGCACACAAGTCAAAGGATGCAGACTTCCAAGACGCGCTCTGGGTAATGAATCTTTTTTCCCCAGCTCAAATTCAAGCAAAGAAAACCCCAAACCAAACCAAACCAAACAACCCTCTCGCAAGGCAAAATCAGCTGTGGGATGCACATATCCCATACCGACAGTCCTCCAGGAAAAGCGGTCTCCTTTTCAATGTTCATGCCTGGGAAGGACACAGTCAGGACTCAGGAATTTCAGACTATCTGCCTTAAAAAGCGTTAAGAAGTATGTCTTTAAAATCCTCTTGCCATTTTTGGGTCAAACGGCTGAAGATATTCCTCAGCGGGAGGCTGACGTCTTTATTTCTCAGAAGATGCGGCCCATCATCTGAACAATGGAGCAAAACATCTGTATAAACAGCACCGGCTTGGTTTTGTGTTTGATGGTAAATAACAGGCAGAGGGCACGTCCCAGGGAGATGCAACTGGTGAGCCCCACACCAGGTCAGCTCAAGACAGACCATGTTTCTGCATTTTCAGCATTTGGCCCGTTTATAGGACCCTTCTGCGTGTCCCTCATGGCTGTTCTTCCTTATCAAAGATTAATTGTGCTTATGCTTACTTCACCAACAGGCAAAAATAGCAAATTCTATCTTTTCTGTCCAGAAAAAAAGAAGCACAGACAGACGACAGCCTACAGGTGCTTGTGGCAAACAGGTGAGTTTTCTACACAAGTCTCCAGCAACTGTCATTTTAAAAGCTTTCGACTCTCTCCAGAAGCCAGTGAAGAAGCTTCACGCAACACAGAAAAAAGAACTAGTGACAAAACTGTGTCATATCATTAAATCTTTGTTATGATGCCAGCAGATGCGAGATAAAAATAAACATGCAGACAGATGCCTCCCACGGAGGAGAAGCAGGGCAAATGGGAGTGGGACCAGCTCCTGACCCATCTTCAGCACCCCATCCTTCATCCAACAGCTCAGCAGGAGCGGCTCCAGCACCCAGGTCCCCCCCTGAGCAGCTCCAGGAGTTCAAGGGCTCTGGTGAGTTAGCTGCAACACCACTGAGATGCGTGGGCTGGGGATGCTGGGGTGCAAGGTAGTGAGGCCATTTGTGCCTCCCTTGTTTTGCAATAAATGAATAAGAAAGGTTCAAACTGTTGTTAAAATCTCACAGGAAGAAGCTGTAGGGGTCCTGTTTGTAGGAGGTAAATACTGAATGGTAACAGCGTGTGCGTTACACACGGCTACCCAAAGCACCAAGACGACCAAACCAAGAGCAGCGAGGTACAAGAGAAGACTACCCCATTTCAGTCTATCACCAATAGCAAGAGTAAACTTGGATTAAAATAAGGAATGAACAACCCTCATATCCTTGTCCAAACATGAAAGGATGCTGCTGCACAGGGAGGTGGCAAAGGAGAGACCAAGACTTTACCTCTCGTACACCAACACTGCAGTATGACAAGGCAATATGAACCTTCGTGTGACCAGAAATAAGTGGTGTTTCCAGCTATGGACCAAGAGTGGCCCACCACAGCAAGCACCTGCCCTGGCCTGGGCTGTCACCTCCCACACAACCCTCCAGCACAAGTGACCAGACACAGATGCATCCTGGGTTAACCATGGCATGTTGACAGCTGGGACACCAAAGCCTTACACAATGTCCTCTGCAAAAGGGCAGCTAACGCTGAAGAAAAATTTATCAGAAAAAGGCCTTTTTAAAACACCTATATCTCTCTCTCTGGACATGCCTAGAATCTTTTGATATCTTATTATGAATCCTGCTATAAAATGCATTAGTAATAAAATTTCTGATGGATGCTACTCGGATGAAACATGGCAATACAAGGTGGATTACGACCCAGAGAAGATGCAGCCTCTGGAGA